AGTCAACTACTAGAAGTCAGCTAATTACAACTAATTACTAGGCTAAGTACACAAAGTCTTATAAGTATATACAGAAAGAATACACATGTCAACATAGTTTGCTTTTGTTTCTTATCATGCAGAATCCTTTAAAAAAAATGATAAATAGAAAGTGATTTTTGTAATCTTGCTACCCGTGTACGGTTACCTTCTGGCTCAATCGATCCTTGATTCAATCATAAAGTGACTTTCTGATCGAAAACCTAGAAGATTTGGGGCATAATGCATTATGGCATTGCCTTCGGCTCCATGTTTCTTATTGGTATTAATTAGCTATTGAAAACCTTAAGCTATTTCATGTAAAATTATCTTGTACAGTACAGTGTTAGAAGTCTTGTAAGCAGTAGAATTATGGTCATATATAGTGCACTATTTCTGCTTCCATTAAGTTTTCTTTTGTCATTGCTACAGGTTCTGTATAAAAGCAGATGTGATAACAGGTTAAATGAGATCACAGAAAGGGCAATTGCAGACAAGCGTGAGGTATTTTCTTATAAATATGGAATTGTACCACTAATGAGCATGGTTTCCTGTTGATTTATGTTAACGAGTGGCATTACAGTCTGAGTCTCTGGCTAAGAAATATGAGGAGAAGTATAAACAAGTGGCAGAAATAGCATCTAAGTTAACCATTGAAGAGGCCACGTTTCGCGAAGTTCAGGTATTTATATTCTTTGTTTCAGGATGGCCTAAATGTTTTTTTGGGTAGTAACTAGTTAGTAATAACTGTACTTGCCATGTGCTGATCTCAACCATGTTTTTTGTTGCGTGCATAGATATGTACTACTCTTTCTTCTGCTGTTTCTCCCATTTTTTCTTCTCTATCCATACGTCAGTAATCATACTCAATTCTTCCCAATAGCTGCTGTATTTGCAATGTTTTGTTTAATGAGTGTATATAGTACTTTGGGGTGTGCCCTTGTTGAATGACCTTAGATTTCATGATTTATATTTTATCTGATTCATTCTCAGGAGAGGAAGATGGAATTGCATCAAGCAATTGTTAAAATGGAGCATCCCATTTGCTATGATGAGTTATACTGTGACTATCTGCAAATTTGTCTATCACTGATGCATTATGTCTGCTCTAGGTCCGTGCTGATCGGATACAATATGATCTTGAGGAGCTAGTAAAGGCTCTTTCTGAACGTTGCAAGAAACATGGATTAAACATGAAGTCAAGTGCAATAATTGAGCTCCCAAGTGGTACCTACAGACTCATTCTTTTTCCTTTGTTCTGGGATGTTTTCACTTCAGCAATGATCCATATTGAAGGAGAACACAAATAATCTAGTACATCATACACATAGTAGCTAATAAAGGTTCTTACTGAACTTTGCAAGAAACATGGATTAGACATGAAGTAAAGTGCAAAATTAGTCTCCCAACTCATTCATGAACCCGCTTAAGGCCCCGTTTGGGATTGCTTTTTTTGGCCAAAAATCTGCTTCACTTTAAAGTTAAGCAGTTTAAGGTGTTTGGTAAAAATAAAATATCCTGATTATTTTAAAAGCAGTGACCTTTTGATAGCAGCTTTTAAAAGCAGGCGCTTGGTTGTTTTTCAAAGCTGCTTTCAAAAGAAGTAGAGATGAATATTTAAGGAATTTTTTTAATTCCCAAAATACTATCATTCATTCTAAAAAATGACACCACCTCCACTTCCACATCCAACTCTACCATTTGCACTACCACATTCACTACCTCCACAACCACTGCCACCACCACCACCACCTCCACCTCCACCTCCACCACCACCATCACCACTACCACCACCACCACTACCACCACCACCACCTCCACAACCAACAACACCACCACCTCCATGTTGCCACTGCCACCACCTCCACCTCCACAATCGCCATCCCCATCACCACCACTACCACAACCACATCACCACCACCACCTCCACTCCATCACTACTACTACCACCACATGATTAGTACATAACACTTTCAACATCATGTCTATTTTAGTCATTATTTACAATTATAACAATTTTATATTAAAATTTACCAAACGGTTTTGACTTTGCTTTTTGTACTAATAGCACTTTAAAAATATTGTTTACCAAACATGAAGTTGCTTTACTTTACAGCTAATTATTTTCAAAGCACAGCGGAAGCAAATTTTTTTAAAAGTGACAGTAATCCCAAACTAGGCCTAAGACCTTCAACTGAGTTTAAGACTTGAGCTTACCTGCTTATTTATTCACAACACAAATATCCATGTAGGTTATCTACATATAAGAACCTTAATGTCCTCAAAAGTAGCGAATGCGTGATGTGGCCCTGTGGATGGGCAAGTTTTGTGGAAACTTCGAAGGAAGAAAATTCCAAGTTGCTTTACAATTTTACACCTTTTTGTATATTGTTCAATGTGTTACTCATTACGCTTTAAGTTAACCTTTTGATGTCCGTATAAAGACTCTTTATTATGAGCTCTCAACAATTTGCCTTAGTATTTTGGTGGTTCTGACATGTTGCATGCGATGATTCTTAAGGCTGGCAACCTGGAATTCAAGATGGAGCAGCTGTTTGGGATGAAGATTGGGATAAGTTTGAAGATGAAGGTTTGCCAATAGTCACAGATTTTCTTGCTTTTATACCTTATGCTTTTCTATTGTTATTTTTTTATTTTTCTCTCTTTTTTATCAAGGTAGCTCTCTAGTGATTATTCTCTAGCAACAGAGATGTTTTATAAATGCTTAGTCATTCTTATATATGGACATGCCAAAACTTTTTCAGGATTTGCCAATAATCTCACTATTGATGCCTCAGCAAAAGCACAATCTGTATCTGTTCAGAGAGACAAGGCTTCCTCAGATCGTAGTTCTACTCCTGATTCATCACTTGCTGATGGGAAGTCAAGGAATGGTGAACATGCTCTTGAAAGTGAATCTGCTTTCGCCCATGGTGAAGATGAATATGCAAGAAGCCCTAATGGCAGTCCGGCTGGAAGGACTGCTCCAGAAAGCCCGTCTCAAGAGTTCTCAGACGTCCATTATGGTAAAAGTTTTGAAGCAGACGCAGAAACACATGGGTAAACTTATTCTCTCTCTCTCTTAACCACCCACCCCCCCCCCCCCCCCCCCCCCCCCCCAC